TTTAATTTTGTCACCCAGGCAGATTACGATGAAACCCTTGAATTCTTGGATTCGGCCTGTCAAATGGATCGCCCTTTGAAACACATATCCCCAAAAGAAGTGGCAAATGAGATCAAAAATTTAAACAAAGGCAAATCTCCAGGACACGACCTAATTGACGCTAAAGTGGCAAAAAGCCTTACATGGAAAAGTATACTATATTTGACAAATATTTATAACTCGATACTTAGACTGGATTATTTTCCGGTTAAATGGAAAATGGCAGAGGTTATAATGATTTTGAAAACTGGGAAACCGGAAAATAATGTTTCTTCATACAGACCCATATCATTATTGCCAATCTTTTCGAAAATATTCGAAAAAAATTTTTGTAAATAGACTACTACCAGTATTGGAGAGCAAAAACATAATTCCTAACCACCAGTTTGGTTTCAGATTAAAACATGGTACTCCCGAACAATGCCATCGGATAGTTAACACTATTATTAACTCGTTCGAACGAAAACAATTCTGTTCCGCTGTATTTCTTGACGTACAGCAAGCATTCGATCGCGTGTGGCATTTAGGTCTGCTGCACAAAATAAAAAAACTACTGCCTGCCCCATTTTACCTCTTTTTTAAAAGTTATCTTAGCGAAAGAATCGCATACGTTAAAGTCAAAGATGAACGATCACCTTTAATTGAAATCAAAGCAGGTATTCCACAGGGCAGTGTTCTTGGACCAATTTTATACACGTTATACACTGCGGACATGCCGATAAATCTGAGTGTGACACTAGCTACCTACGCGGATGACACAGCTATCATTGCTGCAAACGATTACCCAGAACTAGCATCCGCAGCCATTCAAAATGAACTAAATGTTCTTGACAAGTGGTTCAAAAGATGGAACATAAAAATAAATTCTGAAAAGTCAAGCCATATAACTTTTTCTCTACGAAGAGGGGAATGTTCGTCAGTAAATATTAACAACGAGGTAATTCCCAGGAAAGATACAGTGAAGTACTTGGGTATGTTGTTAGATCGTCGACTAACCTGGAAACCACATATAAGCGCTAAACACACAGCATTAAAAATCAAAAGTCGTAAGCTTTACTGGCTATTAGGTCCAAAGTCCAAACTAAACCTTAACAATAAGTTACGTGTTTATAAAGCTATCCTTAAACCAGTGTGGACGTACGGAATCCAATTATGGGGTACATCTTGTAAGTCAAACATTAATATCATCCAAAGATTCCAGTCAAAGTTGCTAAGGCTCATAACTAACGCTCCATGGTTTGTTAAAAACACCATAATTTCCAGAGACCTCAAACTACCCTCAGTTGAAGAAGAAATAAAACGACTAAGCAGCAATTACACAGAAAGGTTGCGAGTTCATCCGAATCCTCTAGTAAAATCGTTAATGATAAACCCGAATGAAATAAGAAGACTTAAAAGGAAACACGTATTAGATTTAAGTATTTGATTTTAACAGATATTTGATAGATAGATAAGTATTAGAATCTAACAGATAATCAGATTATCTTCTCATTACCATGCGAATGTATTTAATAATTATGTATCTTATTGTAGTTACATAATTCCTGTTCTTTTTGTAATTCATCAAATTTGCTTATTGTCTCTAAAAGACAGATTGTAAATAAAGAGATATATATAGAAAAAAAAAAAAAAATATATATATTTGGCATTCGGATGCCACAGTCGATTAATACGAGCGGAGAGCGACCATCGGCTGCTATTGCGGCCCACACCATCACGATGGGCGGCGCTTAAGTTCTGGTGGCCAACCGAAGGTGCATATTTTCAGCTGAGCTCTTTGGCAAGTAGACACGATCATTTTGTTTGTTTACAAACTGCTAAACAACGAAGTTTTCTCATCGGAGAAAACCAAATTCGGCAGTTCACCACTTTCGGCAAAGCGAAGCAACTCTTTAGCTCTTTTAAGTCTATTTTCTTTCTGCTGTCGTATAAGTTTTTGCACTTTTTGGATTTTCAATTGTTTTACACCGAGCTCATTTTTCAATATTTGCCGAATTGAATATTGCGATAATTTCAGCTCACGAGCCATTTTTCGGCCACTATGACGAGGGTTTGGATCAAGTCGCTTCTTTAATTTTCCAACGAATTGTGCTGATGTTGCTGTTTTCTTCCGTTCATTTACTTGACGTCGGGCTATCATGGTAACGAGCGATGCTGCGAGACACAAAAGAATTATTCACATTTAAATGCTGGAGTGCTCTAACGATAGGCACTTGTGGTTTTCAGCCAAATAAAAAGAAATCACACTATCACGCTTGAATTTCATCACCAATATTTTTTTTTTTTTTCGCTTTTAAACAATATAATTAGCTGTCACTGGAATAATTTTAACAGCTGTCGGACGAGTGGCTTGGAGATGATAGCAGTCTGAAATTGGTCACAGTTTTTTTAATTTTACCCTGTATTACACATTACGAAGTGTAAATACGAAATTTGAAACAATAATATCGCTGAAGTCAGCGAAATTCCGAATACGGGCAGTACCCTTATATTATATATATACGAAGACCTGGACCTGCATAGACAATTTTCTGTCATAGACTGTAGTATCCATTACGAATTTCAAATACCAAATTTGAAACAATTCTGGTGAATAATATCGTTAAAATCATCAAAATACTGAATACCGGGAGGTGCCGTTATATAGGGGCTATACCAGAACGTGGACCTACATCGACCATTTTTATTATCAAAAGTCCTGCAGACATAATATACATTTGAGTAAAGTTTTGTCAATCAATTTTATTTTGTTCGAACGCTAGAGTGATTTCCACAGACGGAGAGACAGATGGACGATTATGGTTAAATCAACATAGAACTTTATCCTGATCAAGAATATATATACTTTGTTAGATCTAAAATGTATATTTCGTGAACGACAAACTTGATATACCCTCCATACTATGATGGAGGGTAAAAAAATCATAAGTAAGCTATTTTTAAAAATCTTATATAACTCAAAACATTTCATCATCTGATAGCATATATTCCATTGACATTTACTTTGCAACGAGAATGACCTTTTTGGCCACAAATGTTGAATATTGATTTATTTATTTTCAGCCAGCAAAATTTCCATACAAAGACCCCCACACACACATAGTACGTGGTTGAGGACGACTTAACAGAATTCCTGCAATTCAGCTCAAAATGTCAATGATATATACGCGACAAGAATAGTATCCATGTTTGTATTTGTAGCCATTCTGACATTTCAAACCTCCAAATATTGCAAAACGCCAACATAATAATTCCAAAATGAAAATTCAAAATGGCCGACTTCAATGTCAGAGACAAAAAAAAAAAAAAAAACGGGCAACCTTTTCTCTGCTCTCTATCGAGCGACGAGTTAAAAGCCAAAGGAAGAAAATCCCTTACCTAGCGCCGAGAATACATATATCCAACACACATTCCAGATTCATGTTCAGAATACGTGGGACAGGCAATGCCAACACATTCCAAGCTGGCGGCGAATCCTATGACGGCAAAATATCCGCCAGCGAAGAAGAAATAAAAAATAGAAAAAAAAATGTTGCAATGTTTTTACACTCCGTTAGCTAGCTAGTGGGCAATTTTTCCGCAGAGAATTTTTATTGACGTGATTTTGGAAGTAAAAATGTGGAACACATGTATGGCTGTCCGTCTGTCTGTCCGGGAGACGACATGTCATAAATATTTATTGTTTTTTTCCATATTTTCCATAATGTATACAGCTTCCTTGAAGAGCGAGTCGAAAGTCAACCAAAGACAATGGTTTGGTATTGGAATGACGGGAAGCATGGTCAGTGGGTTACTTTGCAAATGCGACTGTCTGATTGGTGGAGAGAAACAGGTGTCTACCCCCTCTCCCGCCAGGTTGAACAGTACCACCCACTCAAGAATGTGGCATAAACAACCCCTTGGTCGTTAAAAGAAAATTCCATCACACAAAGTTTCCTGGTATCCCTTACAGAGCATGCTCGATGATGATGAGAGCTTTTCACCACACTATTGCTCTCTCATTCTCTCCCACCGTCATGTGAAAGAGATAGCCAGATGGGAAAATATGAAATGCTTATGGTTTTGAATCGGAAAATGGTCCATTTGCTGGCATTTGTCTGGTGTTAAGGATTCACACAGTAGTCCTTCGTTTGTAGTCCTGTTGTGTGGTGTAAAAAACGGCAAAAAAGCGGATTCAATACCCAGCAGTGCTCATTTCACACAAGGAAATAAAAATTTAACTCAAAATCAAATAAAGAAGGTCCAGTGCTTTTCATTAAAAAAATAATTTTTATTTGGAAGAAAAAAAGAAACTATTTCAAAAAACTCAAAAAGTGAAAAACTCAAAATCGAAAAAATAAAATTCCTACAAAACCCAATCTCTTGCAAATCGTGTGAAAAGAAAAATTTTGTGTCTATATACGATTTTCATTTCCATTTACTCGGAAAACTGGAAGCAGAGAATATCCCCCCACCTCTCTCCCATACACCCAATTATCCCCAGCATTCCAAGTTTCCAGTGACGTACTCGATTGCATCACTCTCTTGTTCCACTATCACACCACATTCCAAAAATTTTGTTTATATAATACCCAACCATCCCCAGTTTTGCGAGTACATACCCCAACTGGAAATCCACCACCATTCCAAAAAAATTCTCAGTCCATGATCACCTTTGCCATAGCATTATCCATTGAAGTACCCCCCCACACATACACCATTCACATATATAGTCCAAGTTTTTCCCACAAACAATTACAGTCTCCCGACAACAGAGTTGCAAACTCGGTGGACCCGGTGCTGCGGTGCAACTCGCTCCTTTCAACTCTGACGCCAGAGTTTCAATTCCATTCACTTCAAATGCGGATTTGAAGTTTTTTCTTCTCGCTTTCTTTTTTTCGAAGTTTAATTTCAGAATTTTCAATTTTCCATTGCTCTCTGAATTTTTAATTTTCCCAACCCCAATAATTTCAGTACCTTAAACGCAACCTAAAAAATAAAAATAAAAAAATATATATTCGTTATTGATCGTTAATATAAAAAATTCTCTATACGGGTTTTGAGAGAGAGAGAATAAAATCGTTGAAAACCAATCGTGTTCGAATTCGAATATTATCGTCTTTGTCGCTTTGTTGAATGACATCATCGAAATTTTAACAGCCCCACGCACATATACGACATACGGAAATGGATTACGCAAAACACTAGCGGAATGTAAGTATCTGCCAAAAATGGAATATTGGTGTGGGACTGAAAGAGATGACTAAAATAGGAAATGGTGTAACATAAAAAACTTAATCGAATGAGGCTTCAAATATTTTAAATATTTTTAGCCGGTCGCATTAGGCAATGCTCAGAGAGATATATATTTCATCGAGAGAAGAAAAAAATGAATAGAAACGAGGTTAAGTTCGACCGAGACGAAAATGTTTATATCTTTCACTGAGTGTAAAATTCGACTTAAATTCCTAAAATGTAAAATCCCATTATAATTGTTGATATAAGTTACATACTCAAAGGGAATCCGAAATGGCATAATTTGGTTGGAAATGTGGGCGGAAATCTTCAACCCTACACCACTATGCGTATTTAGTAGAGCTACCTTAACAAAAAAGCAGTTGTTACGGTAGCTCTACTAAATAAGCACGGAGCTACTGATTACCGGACCGATTTTTACCGAATGATAAAATTTGGTTGAATATGAAAAAATCTATTCAATTTGGGCTGATATTCCATATGGTGAGCAGTAACCGGAAAATCGGTTAAAGATGTACATATATCGAAGCTATACACAAATCTTAAACGAGTTCGATAAATCTTGGTAGAGATATTTTCGAGCAGAATCTGATGAACGGTATCAAATATCATTTTAACACCAAATCGGATGAAACATATGTATGGGAGCTATAACAATATCTGAACCGAATTTTCACCAAATCTAAAGCGTTTGCTTTTATGCTGAATTCCGCAGGAATTGCCAAAATTCAGCCCATTTGAGCTGGTATTAGCCATTTGATGCACAAAAAACCTGAAATCGGATAAAAATATATATGAGAGCTATATCCAAATCAGAACCGATCTCGACAAATTTTTAAACAAATTTTAAACGAATTTTCACCAAATCTGAAGCGCTTGCTTTTATGCTGAATTCCGTCGGAATTGCCAAAATTCAGTCCATTTAGGCTAGTATTAGCCAGTTGGTGCACAAAAAACTTGAAATCGGATAAAGATATACAGGGTTGCCCATATTTGACGGAGCCATCTTGCAACGCCATAACTTTTGACAGAGATGTCACTTCGCTTAATGACATACCGCGTTTAAAGCGTCAATCCAAGCAGATTTTTACCATGAACCAATACACGCCACGCGAGCGCTCTGAAATAGTTGAAATTTACATTCAACAGAAGAAGTCAATTGTGAAAACTCAACGTGCTTTTAAAACATTAAAAAATGTGAGAAGTGCGCCTTCTAAGAACACCGTTAAGCGTTTATACGAAAAATTTTCGACTGGTAAGGCTCTTTCTAATTCGAAGAGGCCATATAAAAGTCGACCAAGGCCATCGGCCGAGAATATCGCTGCCGTACGAGCCAGTGTTGAGAGGTCCCCAAGAACATCCCAAAAACGCCGTTCTCAGCAGTTGGGCTTGGCTCGGTTCACTTTACAACGGATTATTCGCATTGATTTGCATTTGTTCCCGTACAAAATTCAATTGACGCAAAGAATGTTGCCTGCGGACAAGCCTCGTCGATTGGAATGGGCCCAAAAAAAATATGGGTCCGTCGAATATGGGCAACCCTGTATATGGGAGCTATATCCAAGTCTGAAACAATCTCGACAAAATTTTAAACACTTATTTCTGGGCGGTATCGGATATCTGGTTCCAAAGATTATTGTTGTGGAGTGCATATTATGCATGCGAGGGTCTTTGAACTCCAAATCGGATAAAACATGTATATATGGGAGCTATAGCTATATCTGAACCAATTTTCACGAAATTTGACTTGTACTTGTTTCTACGATGATATTAGCCATTTGGTGCACAATAAACCTAGATGCTAATCTGATTCGATCTCGATACAATTTGACAGAGGTATTTTCATTTTCGATTTTCTAAATTTGGTGTACTTGCTTCTAGACTGAATTCGGTCGGATGTGCCAAAACGCAGGTCATTTGGACTTATATTGGCCACAATCGGCTAAAGATATATATGGGAGCTATATCTTAATCTGATCCGATTATCATCAATTTCAATAGGGTTCGTCCTTGGGCCAAACAAATTTTGTTTGCAAAATTTTATCTCAATCAGATCATAAATGCAATCTGCATTTTGCTCACAAAAGTACTGGACAGACGGGCATAAATCGATTTGGAAAGTGATTCTGTGAAGATCCTCAAAAGTAACTATGAGTCTATCTCGCTTTCTCCTCCATGTTACAAATAAATGCACGAAGACATAATACCCTTACCACTATGTGGTTTAGGGTATAAAAAACCGATTTACATTGAATACTTGACTTATAGTTAAATAGGTACATTCATAGATCTATAAAATTTTCGCTATATGGAGGTGATTATAATTATCCAATTACCGCTGGATTAACCACGTTTTGGCATTGATAAATATCGAAAAAAATGAGGTACCAAAAAATGGCCCAAAGTTGAATATTTTGCTGCGGGAGTTAAACTACTCACCGAGAATCAAAATATAAATTAGGGCTGAAACCTTCAAAATACCGAAAAGGAGAAACAATCCAAGGAGTAGTAGAAAGAATCCAATAGAAAGAATCCAAGATATTAAAGTAGGCTTAATGTGATTAAAAATTTGATTTTACTCGAAATTGTAGCTGTAATTTAAAAAAAAACCCAAAGGTGGTCCGATATGTGTCAATTTTGATGCCAAACATCCTAGGAATAATGTCAATGTGTGTACAATTTCAAAGATCTATTATTAATAGTAGGTGCAGTTTTATAATGTAGACGTACGGGAGGTAAACTTGTCTAAATCGAGAATTAAGAATTTTAACCTGATAACGAATATATATACGAAACAAGTAAACAAAGGCTATAGTCGTGCGGGGCCGACCATGTGATACCCTCCAACACTACAATATGTTAGTTAGACCCCCTTATGTCTAAATCCATTTTGCAAGATTTCGCTTTTAAAATTATGTAACGGAGCACTGCCCATATATTACCCTTTGCATTTGACCAGGGACATTTCCCCAATATTTGCACACTCCTTCATGCTGTTAGCTACAGCTAAATATAATCCAATGGTCATCCAAAATGCTAGAATTCTTCCATGTCTTTGACTCTCTTCTCAGTGTCGATTGGCTTCAATTGTGTGAACTGGAAAATTTTCTGTTTTTGGATCATTTGAATCCTTAAATATTTTGTGATCATCTCTAAAAGCAAGAGGCCCCCTGTATAGCCAAATTTAGACTCATGTATATGATTTTCTTGTCTACCATATTTGGCTTTATTCGTAATGCTGGTACTTTTTTACACAAAAGTAGTGGTCCATTCTACCCGCTGTCCCAAACTCTAACTTCATGCGAGATTTCATGTCCTTTGGTTTCTACTTGTGTGATCGGACGATAATTGCAGACCTGTGTTGTAAGGTGAAAAAAATAATAATATTCACTTCAATATTTAAGTCAAATTGAAACAATCGCATGCGATAAAAAATATGAAAAAATGTCACAAAATACCACAAAATCTATATTAACATCATTATTGGCACCTTTTTGTGCGATCTTTTTAGATTTTATTCTTTTGTGCCATGAGAGCATTCTGAATTCACAAAATTTGTCAAAATCGGAGCAGCCCTTCTTGAGATATAAGAATTCTTTGTGTAAACACATTTTATATATTTTGCTTCATATATCCGATATTTTTACTGTTGACATCTACGTAATGGCCAGAATTGACCTATTTTATGGAAAATTTGACTTTTATTTAACAAAAATGCTATGGTCTATTACCCGATGACCATCAAATTTGTAAGACTTCTGCCCAGCCCTAAGCTCTAATAGCTAGATCGACTCAGCTTGGCGAGATAGGTAGATCCATATATACTTTCCTATATTGGAATCCAATATTTCGAAGTTTTACATAATTTTTGGCCCAATCAAACTTATGGTACCCCCAACACAAAGTGTTGTAGGGTATAATAAAAAAAAATGTCACAAAATACTAAAAAAATAAAGAATTGACAAAATTCGTCCGTCCAACCATTCTTGAGATATACGTATTCTAGCTAAAATCCCCTTCCTTTGTATATATACATTGTATATATTTCGCTTTATACATCCGATATGTTTACTATCGGCAACTACGTAACGGTCAGAATTAACCTGTTCGTCCATTTGTGATTTCGCCGGGAATAAAAATATTCGCGGTTTAATCAAAAATTTGACTCACTAAATATTACCCGATGACCATAAAATCGAAGGCTTCTGCCCACCCCTAAGCTTTAGCCCCATGCTAACTTCCGCTTTGATTGGTCTATAATTGCAACCTGTAAAGCAACTGCAAAATCAGAATTTTTTCAGTTTTTGGTCCATTTCAACCCCTAAATATTATGCGATCATCTCATCATCATCACCCCACCTCCATTCTAAATTTCGTGAAGATCGGGCCATAATTGCGACCTGTAGAGTGATTACAAATTAACATGGACAGACGGACAAACGGACGGACGGTCATACATAGCTAGATCGACTCAGCTCGGCGAGATAGGAAGATCCACTTTCCTATGTGGGAAACCAATATTTCGAGGTGTTACATAATTTTTGGCCCAATCAAACTTATAATACCCCCAACACATAGTGTTGTAGGGTATAAAAAAATCTTTAGTAGATGTATCTAAAAGATTTCAACAGGCAGTTGAAGAGACGTATAGCAAAATATTGCAAAATCGGGTTATCATTTCAAGTTAATCATAAATATATAACGTCCCCAGAAATGTCCAAAGGTGAAAACCCACAAAAAGTTAAATAAGTTTAAGTTTAAATAGGACCTCTTTTCACATGTGGAGTCGATATAGCAGTGTTCGACCGACCACAAAGGGTCACAATTTTCAAAACTTATATCTCACATAACTTGCAAAACAAGTCGGTGATTCTTTTCAAACTTGGAATATACAAATATTTTTCTCAACCAGACATCTGATATGAATATGGAATTTACTGCCTCACTCCTTGTCGAATCTCCTCCGAAAAAGCTCAACATTATTATTAACAATTATTCCCAAAACAATAGATGTCAGATTTTCATCAAATTTTGCACATCCCAATATTTTTACTTATATTAGATGAAGCGGAAAACGGTGCTCCACTATATCTGCTACCTCACGCATATTTCGACATTTTCCAAAAATTAACATATAACACTTAAACGCTCCTGCAAAATTTCAAGCTTCTACTTTCCAAAATGCCGATCCTGTTTATGTAGTGCGAAAAGACGTAACCCCGTACTGCAATTTTCATAAAACACAACAAAACACGTAACTCAAATTATTTAAAAGTTAACCAATAGTAGTCGAGTCAAAATAGTATCGTGTACCTATATAGACAATTCTCTTCTAGGGGATAAAGTACTCGCAAGGAACTTCTTGTGCAGAATTTCAGACAATTCGATTGAAAAATGTGGCTAAAATCATTAAAATACCGAATATCGGGGGGTACCGTTATATGGGGGCTATATGATAACATGGAGCGATATAGACCATCTTCGAACTTAACCTGCCTGCAGACAAAAGACAGATCTGTGCAAAGTTTTAGCTTTCTATCTTAATTCGTTTTGACTGTAGCCTGATTACAATAGACGGACAGACAGGCGGGCAGACAGGGCTAAATCGTCTTAGAATTTTACGCCGGTCAAGAATATATATACTTTGTTGGGTCTAAAATTATTATTTCGATGAGCTACAAGCGGAATGACGAAATTAATATACCCTCCCTACTATGTATGGTGGAGGGTATAAAAATATGATTATAATCTTCAAAATAACTATAACAGAGGGCTTTTCCAGAAACTGGACTTTAATTGAATTTGTATTCTACATAAGATTTCAAAATATAAAATTTTTGTCATTTATGCAGGAAACCCCAAGATACCTAAGATCGCCGGTGCCACTATTAGGTCCGTATGCGTAATTAATTAAAAATCAAATTTCAGTATTTTCCCTAAATATTCGTCGTAGACCCCATAATATATATATATATATATATTTCCTTGATCAGCATTAAATTCTACGTCGATTTAACTATGTTCGTCCGTCTGTCTGTTGAAATCGCGATACAGTCCACATTCAACGTTGAGCTCCAAAATTTGGTAGAACAATTTGTATTGTGTCTAGAATGATTGGTATTGAAAATGATATGATAAATGATATATCCGTCCACGTTTTGGAATAGCTCCCATGTAACGGTACCTCCCGATATTCAGTATTTTGATTATTTTCGCCACATTTTTGCAAGGATTTGTCTAAAAATTCGGTGGCGAAACTTTGTAGGTATTGGTCCACATTTTTGTATAGCCCCCTTTTAACGGTACCTCCCGATATTCGGTATTTTGATGATTTTTGCCACTGCAATGGGTTCTAGCTCCGGTGGCGGAACATAGTCTTAAGGGTCCACGTTTTGGGATAGTCCCATATAACAGTACCTCCCGATATCCAGTATTTTGATTGTTTTCGCCACATTTTTGCAAGGATTTGTCTAAAAATTCTGTGGCGAAACATATGTATAGGTCCACGTCCACGTCCACGTCCACAGCCCCCATTTAACGTACACCCAAATATTCGGTATTTTGATGATTGTTGCCATATTTTTCCACGGATTTGTCTTGATTGGTATTTATAGTTCGTAATGGGTTTCTAGCTCCGGGTCCACGTTTTGGAATAGTGCCACATAACGGTACCTCCCAATATTCGTTGTTCTGATGATTTTTGCCACATTTTTTCACGGATTTGTCTAAAAATTGGTATTTGTAGTTCGTAATGGGTTCTAGCTCCGGTGACAGAACATTAAATATTTCGGTCCACGTTTTCCTATAGAGAACATATAACGATACCAACCTTTATTCGGTATTTTGATATTCCTTGTCAAATTTAAATACGAAACTGTTTCGGATTTGGTTTTAAGAAGATTTGGTAGATGACAATCCTTGAAGTGTAAAAGGTTCCCGTTTTGGTATGGATCCATAAAACGGGCTAATCCCTTAAAGTTTTTTTTTTTTTTTTGAAAAGTTTAACTGCATTGTTCAGATACTTTTATATAAAAATGTGGATGGTATTAAAAGTTCGGCCTGGCCGAACATAATGTTCTTTTACTTGTTTTCGTATCCTTTAAGCAGAACTGTCCAAAAACACACCTGCGCCCCAAGACTGATAATAGAATAGACACCTATAGTTTTTGGTGTTTATCACAATATATGCAGAGAATGAAATTATGGACCGGTCGAGGATTATTTTGTAACATGCTTATGTTTAGGACTGGAAAGAAATCTACCGTTATGCTTGTGAATAGGTTAATATTTAGCTGTTAAAGTGGTCCAGAACTTTTGTGTGAAAAATTACAAAATTTTCTCTCTATAGCGGATATATATTTTTACCAATGCTGAAGGTGACTCCTGGCCCGTATACTGATGTCTTTCTATCTGACATATGATGCAGTCAGATTACGATGGGTTAAATAAATGAATAAGAGAGTTTACATATTTCAATACTTCCATTTGAACGAGGATAGGTTGATTTTAGTGAAAAGGGAATCTATTGAGGCCTTAACGAAAATGATGGTGGTATAGGGTATAACATGATCCATGGACTCGCCCACCTATAGCCATTGCATGCTTGTTTTTGTTGTGATTATTGACCTGTCTTTGATCGGCGATATCGGAAAACATTTCTACATTACGATTCAATTGTTGGGCCTTCCTTCATCTTGGGTTAAAACTCAAAAGAAAAAATTATATAAATTTAGATAGGGATTTTAAAAAATCGTAAGTAACTCCCGGATTCTCTTTGAAGAATGAGTCTAAAGCTTTCTTAAGCGAAATTTTGAAATAAAATTTCCTCCACACGAATTTTTGTTTCGAAAAGTTCCGCTATTATAGGACACTTTCTTGATGTCATAACCGCCTCCCCCACATGAATGATAGCTCATTGAATCCTTTTGAAGTTTACATAAAACCAATAATGACTGTTTCTCTCTCTCTGTCCCATGCGACAATTGTCCACACACATCCTTCTCAACGGCATTTTGCTGAAAGTTGAGCATGTGAAATAAAAATTTATGAATATAATCCGCTTACGTTGCCAAGTTTCGGGGCAATTTGTTGGAAGTGGTAGAATGAAGAATATATAATACGCACAAACAAATAACTGTTTTGGCGTGGAATCTGCTTATCAGGAAACAAACACAAAAATAATACTCCACACACACACACACACACGTATTAATAGCTGGCATGCAGATGAAACAAAAATGATATTTCCCACACCAATACTACCTTGAAATAGACATTCGCACATATTTTTGTAACTAAATTCCAATTTGTTTCGTTCTGATTGCAGGATAGCGCCAGGCAGTGAATAAAAATGACCCAAAGCACCCAACTGGGGCTGGCAAAGCAACAACAACAACAACCAAATCCAAATAGAAAGTAACACCGCAAAGGCATCAGCTTTGCAGGACACCACACGAAATACGGCAAGGACCTCACTAGCGGCCGAGATAACATCAAATAAAGCCATTTTAATTGCAACCACACGAGACGAATCGAAGACGAAAGACATTCGGCAGGAGTTATGAACATGTCCAAACGAATTATTCTACCACTCGGCGAGTTGTAATAAAAACGGATTAATAGAGGAAACGAAAAAATACCTCCTCCTCCTCCTCGTCTTCGCTTCCAGAAGAAGATTTTAATTCAATTCGAAATCCTAACTTCAGAGATCTTTAATTAATAATTTATTTGTTTGCAATAAATAAAAATCCACCTCCAAAACAACAAAAACAATAAAACGTGTGAAAAACCCGGAGAAACGAAGAAAAGTGATATCGGCGCACACACACACACAAGCTCACATGGTGAAAAAAAAATCACGGATACTCCCCGAGTTGTGTTAACGCGAACGCAGTGTGAAACATTAGAACGCCCACGGTGAATCCTTAGAGGATACAAAACTTTTCCCAACGTGATAGCACAGTGAAAACCCACCCACATTCCAGGGAAGAGAACAAAAGCCACGAACGAGAGTGAATTTTAAAAACACAAACCCGAAAAAAAATCAAAGTAACAAAACCAAAAACGACGCTGAAAAGTTACAAAGCTAAGCAAAAATGAAGGGTTTGACGGCGATTAAAGAGAAAGCCACGGGAGTCCTTGGTGGGTAAGTATCGCATGACAAAGCTATTCGTCCGACAACATTAACAGCAACACAAACAAATATAAAAAATGATGATGATGATGATTTCCTTTTTATCCTTATGAATTATGATTATCGATGATGTGTTCTCAGTCGCCAGGCGTATTGCTTTCTCCCTTGCCATTTGTTAGAAGAAAGAGGAGTTGGGGGAGATAAATTTAATTTAACGGACCACTGAATGACCAGCCATTCAAAACGAATGGAATTTTGGAAAATTTCTGATTATGTTGTTAGTCATGGTTTAGAGTTGGCTAAAGTTGAGGGTGTTCAGAATTTTTGTAAAGTGAGTTCAAAAAAGAGTCATAAATTTAAAGGTTGTTACAAAATCATCCATGAAATAAGTTTGGCTTTTCATAATTCGAACTATATTGAAGAAGCTACGAGAGCTTTTTATACTGCTTAATAAATTCACAAATGAAATATACATAGACGATTTTAGCCCGAACAAGTAAAAACGCAACTTTGAATACCCTCCACCATTTGGAACTAATTTGGAAATTTTCAAAAAAAAAAGTAAATAAATAAAAAATAAATTCCGTTAAAAATTCTGTTAAAATCTTAAAAATACCAAATATAGCCGTTATTTTCCATTAAAAATAAATTCCGTTAACAATTCGGTTAAAATCTTAATAATACCAAATATAGCCATTATATTAAGGTCTATACCAAGACGTGGACCTGCATAGGTAACTTTTGCCAATACAATAATTAATTACAAAACTTGAAAAAAATCGGTAAATAATCTAGCTAAAATCATCAAAATACCGAATATAGGGAGGTACCGTTATATCTGGGCTATACGAAGACCTGGACCTGCATAGACAATTTTCTATGAACTATTAGGAACTTCTCATACGAAATTCTAAACAATTTCGGTGAATTTTGTACCTAAAATCGAATATAAAGAGGTACTGATATAAGATCTGGACATGCATACACAATTTTTTTATCATAGATCGTAGTTCCCATTACGAACTCTAAATATTAAATTTAAAATAAGTCCGGTGAATAATGCCGCTAAAATCATCATAATATCGAATATTGGGAGGTACCCTTATATGGAGGCTATACGAAGACGTGGGCCTGCATACGTAGTTTTTTGTCATAGTTACGACCTATGACAAAAAAAAAACCTACGAATTCTAAATACGAAATTTGAAACAACTCCGGTGAATAATGTAGCTAAAATCATCAAAATACCGAATATAGGGAGGTACCGTTATATCAGGGCTGTACGAAGACCTGGACCTGCATAGAGAATTTTCTGTCACAGGCTGTAGTATCTCTCTTTATATCTTCATATACGAATTATAGTCAATGTCGGTGAATAATGTACCTAAAATCGTCAACGTATCGAATATAGGGAGATACTAATATATGGCGTTTATACGAAGACCTGGACCTGCATACGTAATTTTTTGTCATATGCTGTAGTATCCATTACGATTTCTTAATACGAAATTTGAAACAACTCCGGCGAATAATGTCTCTAAAATCGTCAAAATACCAAATATGGTCTCGTTGTATGTCGACTATATGATATCATGACCTATATAGACATTTCCCTTCCAGGGGGTAAAGTGCTTAGAAAGAACTTCCCGTATGGATTTTTAGACAGTTCCATTGAAAAATGGAGTTTCAATCATCAAAATACCGAATATAAGGTGGTATCGCTGATGACATTGTGGACCTATATAGACAACCCTCTTCCGGGAGGGTAAAGCACTTAGAAGGAACTCCTTTTGTGGATTTTCAGACAATTTCATTGAAAAATGTACCTTAAATCATCAAAATACCGAATACTGTGGGGTAACTTTATATGTAGGCTTTACAATATCGTGGACCGATATAACCCATCTTCTAATTCTATTCGGTTTGACTCTAGCGTGATTACAACAGATGGTCAGACGGAGGGACGGACAGGTCTACGCTGATCAAGAGTATATATACTTTGTTATGTGTAAAATTATTATTTCGATGAGTTAAAAATGGAATGACAAACTTAATATACCCTCCATAATATGTATGGTGGAGGGTATAAAAATTCCGTAAAACATATTCCTAAAACTGTGGCTCTAAAAAATCTTGAAAAATAGTTGAGGTAATTTCCGCTACTAGCAATGAAAGTTCTGGGAAATTCACTAAAAATCTCCACGATTACATCTTTAATGGGCCATGTAAAAATATTTTCATAAAATCCACTATTTTATCATTAACAGTCCTTAATGTCGAGAGTTAATAACGAGAGTCGCTGATAGAGTGCAGGATATATGTACAAAGGGTTTTTAGTTTTTTGGGAGTCCTTAAAGATATATTTTAAATACACTATAATAGCTTAGATACCCTATGAAGAATAAATAAAAAATACACCATTTTAGCCTGAAGAGTACTTGAGAATTATTTTAAAAATCATTAAGCTTTAAGAATCCTAGAAGAATTATTTTTAAAAAGTCATTGAAAATATTTGAGGGATTAATTTTTAAAATCCAAGGTGATTTCCTTAAGAGTCCTTCAAATATATTCTGAAAAAATCACAATTATATTCCCGATCGTCCTGAAAAAGATACACTAAAAATCCATGATTTAAGAATACAATCATGGAAAAATATTTAAAAAATGGAATTCATAGTGGATTAGTCTATGCCAAATTTTCCAAAATTTATTTCTTTCTTAAAAATCCGTGTTGTGTGTAGATCTTTCCAAACCCCCTATTGGTCATCGAAAAAATTTAAAACAATTACAATTAGTTCTTGAAAAAATATTTTAAAAAAAATTGATTCGAAAAATATGTGTGATCTTTCAAACATTATAAAAAATCCACGTTTTATCCTTAATATTTAAACAAAAATAAAAAATATATATGGTCCTTGAAACAATCTTCTTTAAATATGACAAAAGTCCATGAAAAATGTTCTTTAACAATGCCTTGAAAAATATTCCTGAAAGTTTGGTCCTTTTAAAATATTTTTTAAAAAATTCAAGATGGGTTCATGAAAAAAGTTTTTAAGGCATCCTTGTTTGTCCTTGAAAACCTTTCCTAAAAAAATATTAGTGAATTATTCTTAAAAATCTAAGTTTGGCCAACGAGAAAATATTTAAAACAATCCTTGAAAGATCTTCTGAAAAACATTTAAAAATATATTTCTGTGTGTAGTCCTTAATATATATTTTTAATAACAAGTTAAAAACCAGTAAAGAAAGTCTTAAAGTCGGTCGGGGCCGACTTTATGATACCCTACACCACTTTCCTAATTTAGTATAGCTGCGCATAACAATTAAAAGTTTTTATCGGAGAATTCAATCATACACTCTATGATTATAATTATAATTTAAAGTTCAAAGGACTAAATATGCCGAAGCATTTGTACCTTTTAAATTCGGACTTGTATTGCCCATTTGGTGCAAAATTAATTTGAAATCATATAAAGATATATATATGGGAGCTCTATCCAAATCTGAACCGACCTCTATAAAATTTGGCAAAGATATTTCTGAGGTGTATTTGATATATTTCCCCAAATATTGTTGTTACAGAGTGCATATTACGGCTGCGGTGGACAAAAATAACAAATCGGATGAACAATATATATGGGAGCTATAGCTACATCTGAATCGATCTTCACCAAATTTGGCATACTAGCTTCTAGACTCAATTCGGTCTTATATGTCGAATTCCATCCCATTTGGACAAATATTCGACGTTTGGTGTACAATAAAAGGTAAATCGGACGAAGTTATGTATGGGAGCTATATCCAAATCTGAACCGATCTCGATAAAATTTAGCAAAGGTATTTCTTAGCTGCATTTGATATATTTCCCCAAATATTGTTGTTACAGAGTGCATATTACGGCTGTGGGCAACAAATACAACAAATCGGGTGAACAATATATATGGGAGCTATAGCTATATCTGAACCAATCTTCACCAAATTTGGCATACTACCTTCTAGACTCAATTCGGTCGTATGTGCCAAATTCCATCCCATTTGGATAAATATTAGACGTTTGGTGTACAATAAAAGGTAAATCGGACGAAGTTATGTATGGAAGCTATATCCAAATCTGAACCGATCTCGATAAAATTTAGCAAAGGTATTTCTGAGCTGCATTTGAAATATTTCCCCAAGTATTGTTTTTACAGAGTGCATATTACGGCTGCGGAGGACAAATATAATAAATCGGATGAACAATATATATGGGAGCTATAGCTATATCTGAACCGATTTCCATTAAATCTGGCATACCATTTTCAGGCCTAATTTTGTTGTATATGCAAAATTCCATACTATTCGGGCTGGTATTACACGTTTGGTGTACAATAAAAGGCAAATCGGACGAAGATATATATGGGAGCTATATCAAATTTTTTTACCGATTATCTCCAATTTCAATAGGGTTCGTCCTTGGGCCAAGTAAATGTTGGTTGGAAAATTTAATCTCAGTCGGATAATAAATGCGACCTGCATTTTGTTCACAAGAAAACATGGACGAACGGACTGACATGCATAAATCAACTCAGAAAGTGGTTATATGCAGATCATCAAAAGGAACTATGGGTCTATCTCGCCTCCTTCCCCATGTTACAAACAAATGCACAAAGTCATAATACCCTGACCACCTTGTGGTGTAGGGTATAATAAAAAAATTAAATCCGTTAAAAATTCTGTTAAAATGTTAAAATACCAAATAAAGCCGTTATATTGGGGTCTATGGACCTGCATAGGCAACTTTTGCCATTACAATATTCAAATACGGAACTTGAAAAAAAATCCAGTGAACAATGTAGCTAAAATCATCAAAATACTGAATATAGGAAGGTACCGATATATCTGGGTAATATAGACAAATTTCTATCTATAATTTTTGCCATAGGCTGTTATACCCACTACGAATAGTAAATACGAAATTTTAAAACAACTCCGGCGAATAATGTCCCTAAAATCGTCAAAATACCGAATGTGGG